TGTGAATATTGTTCGTACATGCATTTATGTAAAGCGCCTAGAGCTGTGTTTACACGGGAGTGGACGCTATAGAAATGATCTTCATTATCATTTATTATTATTAGACAGATAGATAGAAAGATAAATGGATAGCTAGATAGATTTTTCTTCTTTCTTTTGGTAAGTGTTTTACGGCGCTCGTAACTGCTTAAGGTCATATTTGCGCTCGGGACACGTTAAACATTTTCGGTTTGTAGGACAATTGGAATTTTGCCCGGGTGGCGGCCGAAGCCTTTTCTTATCGATTTTAGACCACCAAGGGATCTTTAACGTGCGCAGCTTGCACACGGGACCTCAGAGATTTTTCGCCCTTGTCCGAGAAGGCTAGGTGTAGATCTTTCCTACCAGAAGATCAGGGGTGTGGCTGAAAGACAGCAGTAAGGAGGAGCCTAGGAGTAGCAGTAGAAAGGTTGCAGAAAGAGTCAGGAGCCCAGAGGAGGGTGCAAAGGAGGTGAGAGGGTGGAGCCAGAAAGTGGAGACGAAAGCATACGACAGAAGATTGCTAGAGAGAAGGAAAGGAGGTGAAAGGAGACCATTTTAGAGAAGAAAATGTTTCGGTCGCTACCCAGATTCGAACCCGGGACATTTGAATGAGAGGCGAACATCTTAACCTCTAGGCCACGAGAGCCCCCAAATAGATAGATAGATAAGCAGATAGATGGATAGATAGATAGATAGATAATTCTAACGCTGTCAGCAACATAACAATCCCACGGTCGGAGAGTGCCATGGGCGAAAAATTTGACAATTCTGCAACTTTGACTTGAACTGAAATGGAAGGCGCTGAATTCATAACGACAAAGAGCTTTCCGAGCAGATTGGAAGTCCTTCATTTTTCTCAACAGTGTACGCTATTCACTGAGCGTCCTCAGGATTGTGATTTTGAAAAAGTTCTTTCAACTCTAATCCGTTTTCCTACCCAATCACCAGCACCAACAAAAATGATTAAAATTTTCATTTGACCTTATTTCTTTGATCATTTCTTCAAGGTAAACACTTAAAGGAGGCAGCCTTATAACAGACCCTGCCTGTCAGGGCCAACCTGGGCTGAGAGGGAATTAACGTCTCAGTAGGAAGACCTTCTTGATATAAAAACATTCTCCCCACACAGTAAATGAACAGATCAAGTCTTCTGCGTGCGATAGTGAGGCACCCTGACTGCAGCACAACAAACGCTGGTAATTTAAGGTACAAACTGTGACTTGGAATCTCTATTGTACTGCTACTCTCCTCCTCCTCTTCCTCCTCCTCCTCCTCCTCCTCCTCCTCCTCCT